AAATTTAATTTAGGTTTAATAATATAAATTTTTATAAAGATAATAAATAAGTATTCTGTTAATTATCAATGATTATCTCAATTATATTTTAAATTTTATATATTTAAAATGATATGTTTATCCAATATTTGATTATGTTTATCCGCAGTTAGTTAGACGAATTCAAGTATGTAGCTTTAATAAGTTGTACTTATGTACAATTTACTTGTAATCTTAAATTTTAAGTAATATGCATCAATAAACAGTACTTCATGCATAAAAAATCGTTTTTAATAATTTTTGTCAAATGCTTTATAATATAGTATAGATTACATGTAATGGTTATATAAAATCATAATTTCATATAAATATTTTCTAGAATCCATATTATTTAGTCATAAGATATCCAAATTACATAATAGATACTATATATAGGAGCTCAATCAAAAGAGAATACTAAAATTTGTGAGATTAATGAGATCCAATATGAACCACTAATTTGAGATAATTATGTCATGTATTAAATAAACATAAAAGCTAATTTAGTCAACTCATAAATATATTTAATTAATTTATTTTCCTCATAAACAAAAAATCTATAACTTACATAAATAAAAAAAATCCACAATTTCTCAAATAGAACATTAATTAATTGTTCACAATGTGTTTTCAAGTCTTTAAACAATACTTCTAGTAATTTTTTGTGTTAACAAGATGATCACAATGTGTAAAGATAACAGGTGTTCACAATGTGTATTCAAATCCTTACACAATACTTTTAGGGATTTTTACTTTTTTTGTTCTTAGTGTCGTTATAGTACATTATGTTCACAAGGTGATCACGATGTGGAAAAAATAGGTGATCACAATGTTTAATTGAAACAATATATTTGATAGTACAGATTTTTGAATAATTTTTGACATATTTAACCCATTTTTTAGTCTGATTTTAAAATAAAGCCAATTTTCATTCGTTTAATCTACTACATATAAAATATAAAGTCATTATTATCTCTCTAGTTGATTGATTTTTGTTTTGCATTATTAAAGTATGGTCGTTGATCTAGAAGATGCACTTTAAATATAGTGGGATCGGAGATAATCTATAAAATGGTACTGATTTCACTTTCAAATCTCGTTAATTTAACTATTTTTCAGTTTGGAATTTAAATTTTAAACAATAACAAAACTATGTTTAAATTAGTTGTATAGTTTAAATAAAATTTAATTATTAAACAGCTTAATTTAATTGTTTAATCATTTTTAATTAA